AAGCTGCCATTACAAGCACGTGGCACCAAGCCTCGTGTCTCTAGACGAGAAAATTTTATGAAAAGAGACACCAAAGGTGCCCAAATACAAAGGAGGACACGCAGCGAAAGTAGCCATCTACAAAAAGGAGCCTGTTTTGTCCTGCTGTAATACATGCAAGGTTGGGGATAGAAAATGTATAAAAAACAGAAATTGATTTCTCAGAGCTCTGGGGCTAGGAAGTCCAAGGTCAGGCAGCCGGCGTTTTGGTCAGGGCCTCCTTGCAGGATCATCCAGGACAGAAGCACACGAGACAGCAAGAGAGAACGCTCTTGCTTCCTACTTCTTAGGACTCAGGACAGTAATTACATGTCAACACGAGTTTGAGAGAGGACAAAGAAGGAAGCACGGGTCCAGCACGCCGAGGGAGGCCTCGAGAGAAATCAGCCGGGCCAGCGCTCAAAGCCTAGACTCGCACCTTCTCCACCTGTGAGAAAACAAACTTTGGCTTAAGCCACGCCGTTGATGGCGTTTCTTTATGGCACGCAGAGCGCAGACACCGTGCGTGCCCGGGGGTTTGGCCCATTGGTAGCTGACCTCTTCTTTTTCACGGCAGTCATCCTGACAGCCAGGACTGAAGGGGGGCGAGAACCTTCACCAACACTCACACCCCCACATCCAGAGCAGTCAGTGCCCCCTCAGCTGAGGCGCCTCAGCCCCACGGACGCTCCGAGGGAGGGAGCGGGTGACGGGCCGTGGGGCTGGCAGCCAGCGTGGCCCACTCCTCCCTTCAGGCCTGTGGCGAGGGCCAGGCGGGGAGAACTAGAGGGTTTTTCAGCGTTCGTAAGCAGAGGAAAGGTCCTCCCTCGGGAAATCACATCAAAGGCAAAACAAACTGTCGCTACTAAGTCCCTAAAAGCCAATTAGCAACATGAAATGTTCTTTCACTAAAGGCCACACAGAGCGGCATAAACACCATGCGGGATAAAAGGGTCACAGGAGGAGGGCGGAGTGGGGGCCAGAGGTGAGGTGGGGCGGCTGGGGGAAGAGTCTGAGGTCAGCTGAGAAGGAATTCGGCGTCATTCACCCCCAAAGAAAGGCTGCAGGTAGGCGCTGAGCTCCATCCCCACACCTGGCAGGTACCCTTCCTCCCCCAGAAATAACTGCATCTTCCCATTTGCCTCAAAGTAGCCAACACACATCCAAGAAAAACAAATAGATAAAATTTAAAATGTTGTGAGGCTGAACAGACTTCTTCAAGGCAGTTTGAAATTCCCCAAGTACATTTGTAAACCCCCCCCAAATGTTTAGGCCATGGACCCTTTTCTCCCCAAAAGAATCTCCAAGGACTAGTACTGTGGGAAGCACCACGGCCGTCCTGACCTGCCTGGGGAGTGGACAACGGCAGCCACCACTGAGAGCAAGGCAGTGGACGGTACCAACCTGAAAGAACAGCCACACCTCCGAACCCAGATGTCTGCTCAAGTGTGCGTGTGATACAACCTATGAGGGTACAGCTACGGATACAACTAGCACTAGGGTATAGCTGAATGTTTTAAAAATAATCTTACTGTTTCTGTGTGACCCTATACTAAAAAGCTTACCCCACAGCGACCCTTGCATAAAGGTAGGCTCTAAAACCACTTTCATTTCGCAGCTACAGGAGCTGAAGCACAGAGCTGCCAGGCCTTTGCCCATGGTCAGAGACCTAATAACTGACAGACCCACTAGGAACATGATCTGAAGTAAAATCACGGCCTGAAGCAAAAACAACAGTAACAAAAACCCTCAGGGAGCAGCTAGAACTGTCCCGCCTTCCCCAGAAGAAGAACCAGCTCTAGTCTCGGGGCGAAGGCAGAAGCAGACAGTTCCACGGGAACTAGGAAGGACCTGACATGAGGCTCTAGTAGACAGGAGACCACAGAGAGCAGCAAAAGCACCTGGAAGGCAGGTGCAGCCCAGTGCCGAGGTTCGGGAGCTCTGCGAGGTTTCGAGAAAATCCGCAGGGAAGAGACTGTTGCTTTTCCTTCCCGCGGCAGGAACACACAGCAGCTGAAACACACATGCAAGCACTTCCCGGGTCTGGACAGCAGCCGAAGATTTTTGGGAACACTTACCCTCAAGTTTCTACCCCTGCTGTTGTTGTTTTACTTACCACAGTAGGTGTATGAAATGTTTGCGTCGGAGGAGCTGCAGATCCAGTGGTGGTCCTGAGGCTCGGTGAATGCGGGGAAAATCAGAGTGGAAAAGAGCGTAAGTGGTAGCATGATTCAGTGTCTCTAAAACTTTAAAAATGTAAGGAGGGTCAGTAAACAATCATCAGACGCCTCCCTTTCAGTAAGTGAGAAAGATTTAACTTAGTCAGTGGTCACATGATGCCTGAGTGCCTATCCGGTGGTTTCCTCCTTTTAGGTGTGTGACTGCGTGCTCTGAGCTAAGGGTACTTCCTGGAAGGACAGAGAAATAATTTAAAACCTCGTCTTTCTGAACACTTTGTGAAAGTGAAAGTGACCAGAGATTTAAAAACAAGACACTTTCTAGTTCAGAGAAAAAAATCCACTACTCTCCCGCTTTTTTTAATGAAAAAATAAAACAAAATTTCATAATCAAATAAGAGAATAGCAAGAGTTATTACATTGTGTATCATTATCTTCAAAGTAGTTACTCAGAGTACAAAACATAAACCCAAAAGATTCTTGTAAAAAAGAAACAAACAGATAATTCAAATCTTTCTTTTCAATGAACTAAGATAAACTAGTAGTATAAATGAAACCAATTAGCATATATATTGAAATATTTTTAAAACACTGGAACTTGTAATTTGGGGAAGTACTTTTTTTTTTTGTTTTTCTTCCAGTACCAGGAATCAAACTCACAAACTCGCAGCCTTACACTTGCCAGGCAGGCACTTTGCCACTGAGCTACATCCCCAGCCCCAATTTGGGGAAGTACTTTAACTTCTCTTTTTCCTATTTACCTCTCTTCCATTTTGTTCTTTATTTGTGTTTCTCATACAAGAAAAACCGTGCAGTATTTGAGCTTGAGCGTCTGACTTATTTCACGTAACATTATGTGCTCAAGTTGCGTCCATTTACCCCTGAACGCCTCAAGATCATTTTTCTTCGTGACACAGCAGTCTATTGTGTAAAAATATGCTGTCCTTGTCCATTCAACTGCTGATGGACCTATGTGCTGTTTCCAAGAATTATCTATTATATGTTGTGTGCTATAAACATGGGTATACATGTATCCCTGAAATACGATGATTTTAACTCTTTGGGGCATACCTAGAAGAGGCACAACTGGGTCAAATGGAATTTCCATTTTTAGTTTTTTGAGGAATCTGCACACTGATTTCCATAGTGGTGTGTACTAGTTTCCATTCCCACGAACAACGTACCGTAATAGAGTTCCTTTTCCCCCACGTCCGCACCAGGATTTTTTACTACTATTAGATTTTTCTATGGCAGTCATTCTTCCAGGAGTAAGATGGTAGTAAGATGGTGTAGTTTTAATTTGCGTTTCTGTGATGGCCAGTGATGAGCATTTTTTTCATGTATTGACTGGCCATTTGCATCTCTTCTTTTGAGAAATGCCTATTCATTTCAGTTGCCCCTTTTTTGACTGAGACTTATTTTGGGGGTCTAATTTTTTTGAGTCCTTTATATATTCTTGAGTTTGTCCTCAGTCTGAGGAATAGGTAGCAAAAAACTTTTCCCATTCTGTAGACTGTCCCTTCACTCTGGTTTTTTTTTTTTTTCTTTTTTAAAATTTTTTTTTCCGGTACTGGGAATCGAACTCATGATGTTGCCAGGCAAGCGCTGTGCCACTGAGCTAAATCCCCAGCCCCTGTCCCTTCACTGTTTCCTTTGTTGAGCAGAGTCTTTTTAATTTGATATGATCCCATGTGTTGATTTTGTTTAACACTTTTGGAAGTATAGGCATTTTGATTTTGTTGGATCTGCCTAACCAGGAACAGGAGATATTTTTCCATTTTCTGATGTTCCCATTGATTTCCTTTTTCAGTCTGATGGAATTTTCACTGTAAAGGTCTTTCACTTCCTTAGTTAGGTTGCCTAAGTATTTAATTTTTTTATGCTATTGTAAATGGTATTATTTTCCTAATTGCTTTTTCAGTGAGTTCATTTCTAGCACACAGGAATGCCACTGATTTTCATGTACTTATTTTGTTGTCGGTGACACTGCTGAATTTGGTAATTAATTCTAGGCGTCTTCTGATGGAGTTTTTGGGTCTTGTAAGTAAAGGATCATCTTATCTGCAAATAGTGATACTTTTTACTTTGTCCTTCCCTATACATATCCCTTTTATTTCTTTGTCTTGCTTGGTTGCTCTGACTAATATTTGGAGGACTATGCTGAACAGGACTGGTGACAGTGGACACCTGCTCTCCCAGTAGTTAAGTCTCAACAGACACACTTCTCCATCCGCACAGCTGTTCTCTCCTGAAAGCTCTTATGCAACAATTTCTCATGATTCAAAGACCTGGACCTTCGGATCTGAACTAAACAGAGTGATGCGAACTACTTCAGCTCAGCAGCAGGTTGAGCCTCGGGCCAAAAGGAGCAGGATGACCGCCTGCACGGGGACACCAGCCTGGAGTGCTGAGTTCTGGGCGGGGCCTTGCCCTGTTAAAAAGTGCACTTTTACTTCTAGGTTTCCTAGTTTTGTCTGATGCTTGGGATTGAACCCAGGCCCTTGTGCATGCTAGGAAGTGTTCTACTACTGAGCTCTGCCTCTAGTCCTCAAGGGAATATCTTACGTCCTAATATCATTATTTCAATGTGTCATTATTTTACGTCCTAATATTATTTCAATGTGTCATGTATCTCACTTCAAACTCCTACTCTTAGAGGAATAGCTACTCCTCTAGATGCTCTGCCACTTGAAATCCTTTATAGGAGGTAGTTTAGCGTTAGTCACAAATGGCAGAGTGGTGGCTTAAAAATCTGCACACATCAAAGGAAAACAACGCTGTTGGTAAAAGGATTTACTGTAGAACTGTGCTACTTTTCCATTTTTAAAAAGGCAAAAATCCACAAGAAGAGGGAGAGATGGGAATTATTCAAGGGATATAATTTCAGGCTTAGTGAGTTGAAAAAGGTCTAGAGAGATCTGCTGAACAGCAATATAAATATAATTACTGCCGGGCATGATGGCACACGCCTGTAATCCCAGCACTTGGGAGGCTGAGGCAGGAGGATTGTTGTGAGTTTGAGACCTGCCTTGACTACAAAGTGAGGTCAAGGCCAGCCTGAACTATATAGTGAGACCTTGCCTCAAAAAGACAAAAAAATAAAATAAAATAAATATAATTACCACTAGTGAACTGCATGTTTAAAATTGGTTAAGGTGGTAAATTTTGTTATGCTTTTATCAGACTTTTAAAACAAAATGTGCCGGGCGTAGTGGCACACGCCTGTAATCCTAGCACTTGGGAGGCCAAGGCAGGAGGATCATTGCGAGTTCAAGACCAGCCTGGGTTACAAAGTGAGCTCAAGGTGAGCCTGAACTGCGTAGTGAGACCCTGTCTCAAAAAGACATAAAAAAAAAAAAAGTTTAAAAAGTCAAGCTGGTATGCTGTATGACTGTAATTCCAGCACTCTGGGAGGCTGAGGCAGGACAATTTCAAGTCTGAGACCACACTGAGCTGCATAAGCCAAACCTTGTCTCAATACCCCAAAAAGGAGCAGAAGAGAAGCAAAAATTCATGAATACCTTGTAGAGATCTCAAAATGATCGTTTCCTACTAAAAGAAACCAGAACCTCATGGAGAAATGATTGATCCCAGGTTTGGGACAGAAATGTACAAGATTAGCCAGAAACACCCTCTCAAATTAGATAACCAATGTGCAAAGGATTCCATTCACCAAAGAAGAATGCTACTGGTTTCACACTGCAGTTGTAAGCTGGGGGTGGTGGCGCACACCTGTAATCCCAGCACTCGAGAGGCTGAGACAGGAGGATCATTGCAAGTTCAGAGGCCAACCTGGGCTACATAAGTGAGTTCAACATCAGCCTGAACTACCCTGTCTCAAAAAGACCAAAGAAAAAAACAAAAACAGATGAACAAAGAAAATGCCGTACATATACACAGTGGAGTACTACTGCTGGGCCATAGATGATAAATTTGAGCCGGGCGTGGTGGCACACGCCTGTAATCCCAGCACTCGGGAGGTTGAAGCAGGATTGCTTCAAGTTTGAGGCCAGGTTGGGTACATAGCGAGGTGAAGGCCAGCCTGAACTGCATAGAGAGATCTTGTCTCAAAAACACCAAAAAGAAGGATAAATTTGAGTCTTTTGTAGGAAAATGGATGCATCTTGAGACCATGACGGTAACAGAAATAAATCAAAGGTTAAATATTGGATAGATTCTCTTATATGAGAAATCTAAAGTGTAAGTAACTTAGCGAGCAAAAGGAAAGATGACAGGAGACAGGGACGCTGGGCCAGGGATGCAGCTCAGCAGCACAGCGCCTGCCTGGCAAGAGCAAGGTCCTGAGTTAGATTCCTGATACCGGAAAAAAAAGGAGATGGGAGGCAGACCTTCCGCAGACGGGCAAGGATGTAGGGATGGAGAGAGGCAGGATGTGCATTTGTACCAAGTGCCTACAGTGGATGCGGTCCACGCATCGCAAGTATGTACTAATAAAAAATGAGAGAAAGGACATTATGTAGCAAATCTTTAGGGAAAAACAGAGGCAGGCAGCTCCAAGCTGGCTCTCAAAGAGCCTTACTTCCTACCTGCATGTCCCTGTGAATCACCCTGAACGCTGAACAAGGCTGAGTACCCACTGAGGCACCGTGCATTCAGAGGGTACAAGTTAAGTAGGGCAGACGTGATCACTTTCACCTTGCTTTCTTGGTTTGCCTGCTCCAAGGAAGACACTAACCCATCCGGGGAGAAGCTAAGGTCTGCTGTTATTGCGTCTAGGCGGTCCCCCAAAGCCTCAGGTGGTTGTGGGGGGCGCTTTTTCAGAGGTAGCTGAATCTAGAGTGTGTGACTGACTTGTAGTGTGATGCTGGGATTAAGCTGGGTGACTGCTAGATCAGTCCACTGATTAGACTGGCTCCACCCTAATCCCAGCAGCTGGAACAAAGGGCAGAAAAAGGCTTGTCTCGCCCTTTTTGCTCTTGTTGCCTTGGCTTTTCTTTTGTTTTTCTCCATCTATTTGAGACAGGGTCTCGCTATGCAGTTCAGGCTGGCCTTGAGCTCACTTTGTAGCCCAGGCTGTCCTCAAACTTGCAACGATCCTCCTGCCTCAGCCTCCCGAGTGCTGGGATTACTGGCCTGAGCCACCACGTCCAGCTACTTGTTGCTTCTGCTGTCTTCCCCATGAACTGTTGCCCCTCTGCCACACTACCCTGCCCTGGAGCCTAATTACGGACTGAAACCTCTACAAACTGAGCTAAATAAAGCTTTCCTCCTTTAACTTTGGGTGTTGGGTATTGTCTCTGCAACAAGAAAAAAGTAACTAAGACACGTGCCAAAAATGTCAATCACGTGAGTGAGCCACTTTGGAAGCAGTTCTTCCTGCGAATTAGGGATGCTCCTGTTTCCCCTCCCATCAACCTCCCTTGCCCACACGCTGTGGTTTATACCTAGGACGTCCCCACGTGCACAGATGAGGGCGCTGCACTCAGCAGTGGGCTAATCCACCCGTGAGCTCGCAGCTGAACGCACTGCCAGGAGGCCAGACACTCAGGGACCTGGGCCTATCCCTGTCCCTTGCTCCCCCCTTTCTCGTATAGCAGATCACAAACTATATGGAGACATTCTTCTGACAGGCAGGGATGACTTTTTTTTTTTTTTCTGGTACCGGGAATCAAACTCACAACCTTGCGCTTGCCAGGCAGGCGCTGTGCCCCTGAGCTAAATCCCCAGCCCCTAGGGATGACTCTTTCAAAATGTTCTTATGTGGGCAAAGAATACTCATGCACGTAGAAATATCCAAACACAGAAACACAGCCTCCTGCTTGCTTCTGACATCTGATCCCTGGTCTAGCAGTAACTGCACCTGCACCATCCAAGCACACAGCAGCATGTCCGTGTATATTTGCTTCTTAAAACAAACATGAGGCCATGTTTTATTTTTCACACACAGCTACTCTCTTATAAAGGATCACTCTCTGAAATTACTAGAAGCCCTCACAGTTTCAAATTATTTTCAACAATGACTAACAATACAAAAGTAAAGGCAGTTTCACACCCGGAAACACAAATTACACGGAAGCACATCCATAAAGACAACAGGCTCATTTCTCCTCCCCAGGCTATTCCTTCTCACTGTCCTCCGCATCGAAGGTGAACGGTTTGTCATAGCCCATTAGATGGTTGTAGTCTTCAGGGTTTGGAAAGAGCGCAGGATTAACTAACAGTGACTTTGTCTTAGCGTAAAACGTGGTAAACACGTGCGCGCTGCTTGGAATCTTCACGTCGTCCTGGTGGAACACTGTGCTTGTTTCCGAGAGCACAACGCTATAAGTAATGGCTTTGTACGTGTCGGTCGTGGGCTCGTGGTACAACCGAATGACATAGCCTTTCGTAAGGAAATGGAGCAGCGCGGGGGTGATCACGGTAAAGCTTCCTATGACGCCATAGAATAGGACTTGCAAAGCCAGACTTCCAAACATGTTACTTTGTGAAAAAATGTATGGTAGAAATGTAAGGCTGATTGCACTTGTAGAATAAGAGAAACATTTCACACCTAAATGGGGAATAAAATTGAAGATTAGTAATTAAATTTTATAAAAGAATCAATCTGTCCCATTAATTCTACTTTTCTACTCCTTATAAATCATCAAAACACCAACAATAAAATCAAAACATATAGTGCTCATTACACATCAGACTCTGTCCTAAGCATGTCTCACATTTTATTCATGAAGTCTATAGAAAATTCTTACGAGGGGGCTAGGGATTTAGCTCAGCAGCAAAGCACCTGCCTGGCAAGTGCAAGGTCGTGAGTTCGGTTCCCGGTACCGGAGAAAAACCAAAAACAAAACAAAACCAAAAAAAAAGAAAATTCTTACGAAAAAATGTGTAGGCCAGGCATAGTGGTGCAAATTTATAATCCCAGAACTTGGGAGGCTGAGGCAAAAGGATCGTCAGGAGTTCGAGGCCAGCCTGGACTACACAGTGAGTTCAACAGCACCCTAAACTATACATCGAGACCCTGTCTCAAAAAAAGAAAAAAAAAAGATGTGTAACTGTTACATAATTTTTAAAAATAGGAAAGAAGAATTTGGTGTGCTAGTGCATGCCTTTAATCCCAGCACTCAGGAGGCTAGGGTAGGAGGATCTTGAGTGCCAGACCAGCCTGCACCAGACAAGTGTCCTTGTCTCAAAAACATTAAGCCGGACACGGTGGCTCACGCCTGTAATCCCAACACTCAGGAGGCTGAGGCAAGAGGATCGCTGTGAATTCAAGGCCAGCCTGGGTGAGCTACAAAGTGAGCTCAAGGCCAGCCTGAACTACACAGTGAGACTGTGTCTCAAAAAAAGAAAAAGCAAAATGAATAATGTCACAGAGCTATCAAGTAGCCAGGACGGGATTCAAACCTGGGTAATTTGATTCTAGAGTTTATGCTACTGGTGATAGGCAACACTGCCTCACCAGCTACGAAATCTGCTTAAGGACAAATGGCTTCCATCAATAAAAGACTCAGCATTACTTAGAAGACTTTATTATACTCTAAAAACTGATTCTGACCAAAGATTACCAAACAAAATTCTCTATTAACAAGTACCTCTATATATCTAACATAAGGGGCCGGGGATACAGCTCAGCAGCACAAGCACCTGCCTGGCAAGCACAAGGTCCTGAGTTCGATTCCTGGTACAAAAAAAAAAAATCTATATCTAACATAGAAGTTTTAACAGGGGAAATTCCACTAGGCTAAATGGTGCTTGGAATTAATACAGCAAACAAGCTGGCAGCTGGCACAGCAACGGCCCCAGCTACTCAGGAGGCTGCGGCATAAAGACTGCAAGTTTGAGACCAGTCTGGGCAGTGTAATAATTTAATGAGACTTTTACCTCAAAATAAAAAATAGAAAGTGCTGGGGATATATACCATTCAGTGCTGAGGCTTGGGTACAATTCCCAGTACCATACATACAAACAAAAAATGAATAAGTAACAACAATAACAATGAAACAGCAGCAAATCACCAAAAATTAGCATCCACGGTTATTTATTTATTTGTTTAGGTTATTTTGAGACAGAGTCTCCTTGTGTAGTGCAGGCTGGGGCCTTGAACTTGCTCATGTAGCCCATGCTGGCCTTGAACTTACAGAGATCCTCCTGTCTCAACCTACTAAGTGCTGGAGTTACAGGTGTGCTCCATCATGCCTGGCCAGTGTTATGGGTTATGTCTAGGTATTCCCCCAAAATCTCGTGTGCTCATAGATGGGGCTTTTGAAGGTGACTGGATTGTGCCGAGGGCTAGACGGCGCTGTCAGGTGGGACCTGACCACAAGAGCACGGCCGCTGTGGGTGGGGCACAGAAGCCCATGTCCGTCCTGGCTCCCCCTTGTTCCCTTTCGTGCTTCCCTGCTGCTACCAAGAGCCACTTCTCCGCCATGCTGGACCGCCTTGGAGCCGGCCAACTTCGGACTGAACTCCTACAAGCTGTGAGCCAAAGCAACCCCCTCTTTGAGCTATGGGTGATGGGTATTTCTGTCCCAGCAAGGAGCAAAGTAACTAAGCCGGAAATGTTGTCAGCTTCTTTAGCAACGAAAGGTATTTAACTTAGACCAGTGAGGTACTGGGTTCACTTATGACATTAGAGAGATTAAAAATAACTTTGGAGATGGTTAAATGGACAAATCTTAAGTTATATATATATATATATATATATATATATATATATATATTTTAAGACTTAAAATATAATTTCTTAGCTTTAGTTTAACAGGATCCTAAAAATATCTATTTGGAATATAGACGAGCTGAAAGCCTAAACAAGCTGACTATAAGGTTCATCTGGAATAACAAAAAAAAAGAAAAAGCAAAGAAGGGAAGTGATTCCTCTCAAATATTAAAACAGACTCTAAAAAAGTGTTAATGCACAAATAAACAGACAAATCAATGGAACAAAATGAAAAATCCATAAATAAACCCAACTGAGTACGTTAATTTAAGATACATTCTAAAATCAATGGGCAAAAGAAAAGTCTTTTTAAGATGATGATGTTAGAACAACGGAATACCATGTAGAAAAAGACAAAATTCAATTCATCCCTCTTGTCATGTACCAAGAAAAATCCAGAGATTTCAATGTAAAAATAAAAATTAAAAAATCATAGTCTAAGAAAAAACATCCATGAAGTTCCATATAATCTGGGATAAGAAATTTTTTCTAAGTATGACTCAAAATACAGAAGCATTTGGGAAAAACTGATAGGTGACTGCATAAAAAACTGGACACTGATATAAACACCATAAATCAAAGACAAATAAGTGGGAAAAATATTTTCAGTTTACATCAGAAGGGGTTAACAGTCCCTACATATAAATTCGAAGACTATGAGAACATTAACAATCCTTACATTTTAAAGGCAAAAATGCATATGGCCCTTAAACGAACACTAAACCTCATTCACAAGATACACACAATTGGGCAGGGCATAGTGGCACACACCTGTAATCCCAGCACTTGGGAGGCTGAGGCAGGAGGATTGCTGCGAGTTCAAGACCAGCCCGGGCTACAAAGTGAGCTCAAGGCCAGCCTGAGCTGCATAGCGAGACCCTGTCTCGAACAGGAAAAAAA